GTCGGTTCATAAGTTGCTGGAGATGTTCCCGAAATCAGTTGGCTCATTTAAGTCCTATGAGCATGCGCGATCCATGCATGGAGCTAACGAAAGACGGGTTGGTGTTATTTCTGCCGTCGTTATTGCCGGATTAAAGCAAACACTCTTCTAAGGTTGTTGTATGTGAACGCTTTTTCCATAATAGCAGCCCGTTTTAGCCATGAGGCGTTCCCTTCATCAGTCATATGGCGTTTCAGTTCGGTTTCCTTCTTTTTCGCCAAAGCCTTATTTTCTGCAATTCTGCTTCTTTTCCGTTCCTTCTTCATCTTCTCAGTCCTTTCGCCCGCAGAGGTGTGTTTTCACTAGCGTACTGGAATACTGTCGTTAGCGGAAGTCAGTAGGTAGTTGCTGAAATCACCGTACGTCATAGGCAAATGCCTTTCCAGTGTTTGATTGGATACCGCTGAGAATTTTCTCCCGACGGCTGGATTTTTCTGTAACGATATCACATTAAGCCTTGGCATCGCCTTCAACCTTTTGGCAATGGTACACGCTACCATCATTAAGACGATCCGGCATATGATAGGATATACAGCTGCATCTCCAAGTGCTTTTAGACCGCCGTTTTACCATGAGCTTCCAACGGCGGTCACTTACGAGTATGTAGTCGAACTGTAGTTGTGATTTCTTACCTAGGCTCATTCCGCTGCTCAACGGTCGAACGCTGTGGGCGTTGCCATGTTGGTCTTCGCTTCAAGGTCGTCGCAACTGCCAGGCTGAATCTTTCGGCGAGGTTAAGGAGAATCGATCCTGTGGTCATTTTTGCCGGCAGGAACCATTTCCCCAGCGTGACACTCGTTTCATCGCTGCCAAATTATGTTGGCATCCATTCCAAGGACGTTCGATGTGTTGTTCAAGTCTATCGTAGAAATTATCATTTCCTTGTTAATTTTTATTATTCGTATTCGCGTGGGCGGTTATAACCTTGTTTTTATGAACGATTGGATAATCTTGAGTTAATCGACTCCATTTTTCTACAATCAGTTCGTAGTCTGAGTGCTCTGCGACTCCGCAACCAAATATACCTTTTTCGACCTTCGATTCAAACAGTAAACATTATGTCTGTCTATCCGGAGAGCGCATTTTTATGATTTCATCTTTCTTTAGTCGCGTTTCTTGGAGTCTTGCCATCTGTGCGTTTGGACTGTTCAAAGTTCGGGTAACGGCAGCTTGCCAGCCTTCACCTTTGAGGGTCTGACAAATCAAGGTGACTGTAATTAGCTTCCTTTTTAGTCGAAACAGGTTCTGCGGCAGTGGTCCTGAAAAGAGCCTTTTAGTTTGAACAGATAGATGGCTTGCTGTAACAATGTTTGGGCGTCTGGAAATACAGTGAGTAGGCGGTATGCGACCATTTACCCTGGGCATTTGCTGATATCTGGTCTTTACCGTCATGATTGGATATTTATATCACAGTATGAATCCAGGAAGTACTAGTAGAAGCGATCAGATCAAAAACCAGGATGCAAGTTCCCAGGAAAAATTACAACAGTGGCACAAAGCCTTTTTACAGACCAGATTTATGCTCCTCCCCCACATACGCAGTTATGCGTAATAAAACTTCTTGCGCGTCGATGGAACGATGAAGTGGCGTTGACCTTTAACACTATCTCTGGCTGTTGTTTGTCTGCTGTCGCGTTAACCGTGTTCGATTCTGATTCACATGTCGCTTTTGGCGCTTTTCACACATGACTGCTAATCGTTAAACGTTTACTATTGGTCGAGCCGAACCTCCACTTGTTATAACATGTCCAAGAAGTCGTCGAAGTAGCGCTGGCTTCACAACGCCGTGGTTGAGACCAAGCATTTTTCCCTGGTGAATTAGATTAAAGTCGTAATCCGTCAGGGCTTTGGCCGTTAATCTTCCGCGGCCGGTCTTTCCTTTTTCGGGCGTAGGTCCTTAGCCACAGACAAGCCTTTTACCCTTTCAGCCGGCTTTTGATCGATTTCCTGTCCCTTTTCTCTTGTCCTTGATCTTGAGGGAGGTCGCCAGAGGCAACCGATGGTCGGTCGATATGTCATCGGCCTTGTCGCCGACCGTCACTAATAAGCCAGAATCGCTGTCCGCCGTGAAGAGATTCTGTCGCATTCGGGCGCTGCCTCGTTTTGAGTGTATTTTTGTTGCTTAATGTACATTCTGCTTGCCGCGGAATAGCTGACTCTAGGATCAGAGAAGAGCTGTGCAGCTTCAAGTCAGCCAAAGCACCTCTGACCAGATCTTGGCCTTACTGCAGGTTGTTCTGAATCGCTCATCCGGTTTACGTGTGCTTCGTGGACATAGAGAAAACGTATAATCGGATCCCGTGCCACAGAGGCGGTGCGCGTGTCTTCGAACATGTCGAATCGATGGCCACTTGCTACGGGTCATTCAGTCACTGTATGCTGAGAGCCTGTGCTGTGTCAGTACATGGCGTCAAGTCGAAACCATTCGACGTTCGCACTGGTCTCCGCCAAGGCTGCGGCCTGTCCCGTATCCTGTTTGTGTTGTACATGGATAGAACAGTCACGAGCAGCCATGGCGATGACTGCATCGGTGTAAGAGATGTGAAGACGAGAAGGTTGTTGTTTGTAGAAGACCTTGGCTTATTGACATTTTCTGAATCTGAACTACAGTGCTCCCTAAAAAGGTTCGCAGCCGCCCGGAATGCGTGTGAACGCATCTGAAACGAAGTGCTTAGTACATTCTCGTTCTCTTGCCCTTTGCGGTCTGCAAATAAACAAAGAAGTAGCGGTGCACATGATGAAATTCACCTCTCGAGGTCGTGTTTACTTGTGATGGAAAATTAGAGGAAGCAGTCGACCGGCGAACTGGAATCTCTTGCTACGTTGTGCTTAAACTAGCTCAAATCGTTGTGATTAACGTTGAGCTGAGTCTAAAGATGAAGCTGTCTATGTTGAAGTCGATTTCGATCCTTGTGCTCGCTTGTTCAAATGAGTCATAAACTATGATCTCGGGTCCAAGTGGTTACAATTGCTTTTTTTGTGTAATCGTTGGTTTACGTGTTTCGCCATGTTGCTGAGTCATCGGAGTCTTCGAGATATCCGACGCAGCCTTTAAGGAAGGTAAAACAGCTATTACTTCTTGTACCGACCGGCGGAAAACCCCGGATCTTCAGAGATCACCAGAAAAAAACCCAAGGCAAATGTTTCGATAGGGTGCGCTCCAGACTCGCTCCGGCTGTCTTGTGCCTCTTCTGAAACTTTGGAACAGGATTTGCACATTTAGGGACACTGTGTGACGTTTCTGCCTTTGTAACCCGTAAAAATTAGCGATCTTTGTAGCGGATTGACCGACCGAGATGACTGGCCTACCATTAAGTTTTTTTTCGTGTTGGGGAAGAAGTTCGAACTTATACGACTTTGACCCTTTTGTAGTAGTGATGAGCGAATCGTAGCCAGATCGCTGTCCGTCTATCACGAATTGTATTGTTTTTGACTTGATTTGTTTATGTATGCTGGTTAATTTTAGATTTGAGTTTCGTGTTGACGTTTCAGCGGCATGGTCATCAGCGTCGCTTTCTGCAACACTGTAAATAGAATTTGATAAAGAGATTAAGCGATTATTATCTCGTTATGTTATTGTCACATCGGTATGGGTTAAGAAGCTGATGTATGTGTGTTCATTATCTCAAGAGTTACTGCTTACCCATGCTGAAGGGTCGAAGCGTTGACTAGCCTGCCCGTAAACACGTTTTTATATAAAAAGACTGCAGTGCGCTTCGGAACACCCAATTCGGTGTGTTTATTCTTTCGTTCGTGCGTTTATTCATTCATTCGCTCATTGATTGATTTTTCCGCTTATTGGCTCTTCACTTATTCGTTCGTTAACTGATTCATTCATAATTCATTCATCGATTTGTTCATTAATTTTGTGATTCACCCGTTCATTGATGCCTTAGTTTCATGCATTCATTCATTACTCCGTTCATTCATATTTGGTCTGCTGTTTTTTCCACATCGCACTGATGTGCTTCACAGTTTTTTCCCTCAGTATTTACGGTCTTCTTCTAGCTTATTATTCTAAGGTACGTCCTTGCGTCAATTCTCACAGTAATTGATCGATCTCGACTTTCGATTTTCCGGATATTCTGTTTGACCGACTTTCAGTGTGCATTTGACAAGAAATTCATTCTTGGCGTGACGATACGAACGTTGCATTGCAACGTTACAACTGTCTGTCAGTGTGGAAAAAGATCGTTTCACAAACGACGATGCATCAACTGCTTTTAGTAGGGACCTCACTCACCTCATTTTTGGCACATTTGACGTAGGTCGTACTCTTTCGGTCGGTATCAGGGTCTTTCGCCAGCACCCCGTCCATCACAGACGAGAGTTTTCTAGAGCTCGAGGCGATTTTCATCTGTAGTGCATTACGACTTTTTACATCCATGGCCGAAATTTCGGTTCGCAAAATTTACTTAACACCAAACAGGCGGTCGCAAGCTCGATCGTGTTGTTGATGTCGGTGTAAACATGTGCCTGATCACGGCTGTTTCGCGGTCTTAGTAAAATTGAATGAACGTAGCAGCCGTAAACAAGAAAAAAAACTAAAGCGATTTTCGAAAATGGTCTGGTTTCGATGCCTGGTGTAAGAATTGTAAATCATAAAAGTGAGTTTGAATTTACAGGCGAGAAAAGCCGTAAAGTGGGCTCACGATCATCTTAAGAAGCATGCAGGGTCCACGGTACTTTCACTCAACGGTGAAAGCGTCGACCGCGCACCACTACTGACTGAGTTCAGTCGTTGTCGTCGGCTCGTCATTATCGTGACTACCACCACGGCCCCGGATTACGTGTAAGGATTTGTCATAATCATCTTATGGATGAAAACAGCATAAAACACCGTTTACCTATACAACACAGCATAAGCAGTATCGTCAGCTGATGTCGGATGACTGAACCGAATCGACGTTTCGACCCATGTCTCATAGGCCTTCGTCAAGCTAGAGGGGTGGATTATATTCCGAACTGCTGTCTGTCATTGTAAAGCGGCTGTTGTAATGTGTTGAGCCACAGGCAAGCGTTTTGTCCCTTCCTGGTTACGAAGACGGCATGGCTCACATCCTATCCTAGCAGAGTTCGTGTCCGTTGTTATGGTTGACGTTGTCACAAGACTGTGAACGACTGATGCCTTTTTGATGCCCCTTTCCAGCTAGCAATTTTATTTTTTGATGTAAGTGCACGCTGACCATCTGCGGGTAGACGCATGCGTGGTGCCACGTGCTGCACAATCCGGCAGGTCTTTTCAAACTGTTTTCGAATTTGCCTTAGGAGGTTTTTTTCGTCCACATTGGTTCTTGGCGGCCCGTCACTCATACTCGTCCGCCATCACTCATCTTTTCCAGCTTGACAAGTGCATATTTGATGTTTGACTGGCGGTGTTCCCTGTTCATCGTATGCAATAGTTCCCGCAGTTACGTGGTAGTTTTTAAACTGAGCCTAGCGAATTTTCATTTTCAGGGCTATTTAATAAAACTTTACGTTTGGTAGAACATTTATGCTCTGAGTTCATATTATTTTTAGTTTTAAATAGCCGTTGTAACTTTTGATTAAGGCTTTTATGGTAGAGTACTGTTAAGCAAGATTTTACTGTTTAAAGTCTTATTTTGTCGGTATCAGTGTTATAATTTAAAGGAGTCTATTCTACGATTGATAATATTATTAAAAATGATTAGTTATTGCATAAGGCTTATTTATTACCGTGTTTCTTCTTTGAGAAATTCATTTCTGCAGAACCTGTTTTTTCTCTCTCTGTTTCTCTGCTACAGCTGTCTATCTCATTATCTCTGCAGTGACGTTCAGCGATGCCAAATTCATGTTTAAAAAGTCCTTTAGTGATTACCCTGCCAGCAAGCAGGTATTCTCTACTACGTCAGCACGACTGTTGTCTTCGTTGAAGACTTTTGTGGACAAGACATTCGTTTTCGTGATCAGCTT